CAGCCAGCCATGCTGGCTGGGGAATTCTGGGAGTTGAAGTCCACACCTCTTCAAGTTGCCACGTTGAGAAACACTGTTCTAGGGCGTTGGTACCTACATGCCCCAAGGTGTTTCCTCTCAAGTTCAAATTGCTGGGGGCCCATATGGAATTACTTCTTCATACCTTATGCTGAATATACACGTTTCTCTTCCAGCCACCCCAAGCCGGAAGGCCTCGCAGCAGCGAAAAAGCTTTGTGAGAACTTACTACAGACTGTAAGTTAGCTGTTTGTTTTTGTCCTGCTTGGCCCAAATGGCATTGCGCTTAACTACCCTCCCTCTTCCCTTGCAAATCCCATCGAAAGTGGTCCCTTCTCCCCAAAAAGAGATTGGTGGTGACCTTGTTTGAAGCCTACAGGGAGAGAGAAGATGGTCAGAAGGGAATTTCTGGAAAGTTGCCGAGGGGAGCACAGATGTCTCTCTCCATGTTTATAATGGTTTCAGATCAGCATCTCCCTCAATGTCCCATCTATCTACCTACTTAGCTAACTCCTATCCACGTGTCTACCCACTTACTCATTTGTGTGTTCATCCGTCCGTCCGTCCATCCATCCATCCATCCATCCATATATATTTATAAACCCCAAACTAATCTTAAGGAATCAAGGAATGGTTCAAAACATCAGCATAAAAGAAACTGAGGTGGCCCCCAAGATGACATCTTCCAAATATTTTAGAGCTATAGCTCCTAGACTTCCCAACCAGCGTGTTAGTCATCTTGAATTATAGGAGCTGTCACCCCAGTCATCTGGAAAGCACTGGATTAGGAAAGGCCATTTTAGTGAATCCCTCCCCTCCGAAGGCCAAGTCAATATAAGACAAGGTCCAGGATGGATTGGAAAATGTAGTAATTCCATGCTTAGGGAATTGGAACAGCTGCCACCAGACTGGGAACATTTAAGAAAGTCTCTGATGAAGGCAGTGGGTTAGTTCATAGGATCCTAATGGCGGAATCTGTTGCTTTCCTTCAAGGTTCATGCAGAATACTCGCGGTTTGTGAACCAGATTACCACCACCATGCCGTTAACAGGTCTGTCTTGAAAAGACCAGCTGTTCAACAATTTCAGGTTCCTGGCTGGGGGTGGGTTGGTCCCAGAAGCACTGTGGAAAAGGTTTCTTTTTAAACGGCACCAAACAGTGATTGATCCAGTGGTTAACATGAAAAATCAAGATGCTTAAGTGGGGAGACGAGAAACTACACAAGAGAGAAGCCAAGCTAACCCACATAGACATATTTCTGGGAGAACATAGACATGCTTTCTAACCTGAAGGCACTTTGTATAGACGAGGGATAAACTCCTCCTCTCCACCCCTCAAAGCTCCCGAGATTGTTCTGTTGAAATTCAGGGAGAGAACAGCCATGTTTTGCCAGCGGGGTTTTGCGTGGGTGTGAATAGTGACTCGCTTCTGATCCCCGTGCTCAACTTTAAGCTGTTCTCCCACAGGCTAACGTTTGGCCGTTCTTTGAGGTTTTGGAAGGTCTTAAGAAGGGGATTGGGAACTCGAGTCTTTGGATACAGAGTTGACAGACTCTCCGACCGTTTGATCCAGTTCCTCCCAGCCGTCGCGCTCTGCTTCTGAGTGCACAGCCATGCAGAAGAACATTTTGCAAAGCAGATGGTTTTCTCGGGGCGGTCTTTCTCAGTTTTGCCTCTTGCGTGCCTAGAGCCAGCCAGACCCCCAAAGTGGAATCACTGAGCTGGGGTAGAAAGCCAGGAAGAGGGTCTTAATGGAGATGTAGGAACCGTTCCCTAGGCAAAAGCATTTTTTAAGTCCAGAACATCCGGATTATATTTGGAAGTGGATCCAACAGACCCCTCTTTGATTCACTGGAGTGTAAGAAGGGAGAGGAGCGCAGTCAGACTTGCAAGATTTTATTTATTTTATCTATCATATTTATATAGCCACCCATCTCACACAAGGTGACTCTGGGTGGCGTAAAACAGTTAAAAAAAAACACCTAAAAACAATTACACAGAAAAAAACTGTAAAAACACACAAAATAGGAGGGGATAAAATAAATAAGGGTGCCATTGTAAAATCTCCCAATGAAGTATAGAACTGTACTTCACTGAGACAGGCCACAACCACAGAACCACAAATTCTGTGGTGGTAGCCTGTCTCAATGAAGTATAGTTCTAGGCTTCCCGTGGAGTTGATTTCCTCGCTGGCCAGCCCAGCACAAAGGCGAGGACGCTACGCCATTTCTTCTCTGGAATCTTGAGGTTTTGAAAACCTGAGAGGTCCATCTCTTCCTCTTTTCAGTTGGATTCACTCAGCGGCCAACCTTTACCGTTCCTGCTTTTCTCTTTTCTCATCAGGCTTCGCGCAGCCGGCAACCATCGCGACTGTTCCTCCCCAGCCGCCGTATTACCCGCCCAACGGCTTCCAGGCCAGCTACCCCGTGGCTCCGCCCCCTCAGCAGCCAGGCCAGCCTCCTTATGTGGTGCCGGGCATCGGACCTCCGGCCGTCCCAATGGCGCCGGGCGTGTTGGCCCTCCCCACCAGCGTCCCACCCGTGCCAACCCAGTACCCAATTACACAAGTCCAGCCTGCTGCTACCGCCAGCCAGGTAAGACCATCCATCGCGTGCTCTGAAACTAATAATTATTTGCATTTCCCCTTTGATGGTAACTGGGAGCCTGGGCAATTGCTGAACCCCTTGAAGTGGAGAACGATAGGATTCGAGAGGCGTAGGAGAATTTAGCCCACCTTCTTTGCTTGCAATGGCATGTTCCTAGCACAGCCAAGCTAAAACCCTTCCGTGTGCGTCTTGCAGCCAAGGCTGCAATCCTCAGATTGTTCCCCTCCATCTTACATTCGCAAATTGTGTGTGGGGGGGTCTCTTTCCAGACTCCGCTAAGCACTCCTTTTTTGCCTGCTGCTCCTGGAAAGACGAACCTGCCAAGTGGGACGCAGCCCCCCGTACAGCCCCCACCTCAGCCAGGCCAGAAGAGACGATTCACCGAGGAGCTACCGGATGAGCACGAATCCGGACTCTTGGGCTACCAGGTGCAGTAAGCCACAATCATTTTTTTACCTCCTCCCCAGTCCAGTTTTACCTTGCGGTCAAAGTGATTGTAGGCTGACCTCTGGAGCTGTCATTCCTTCAAGGCCGTCAAAACGTTACCTGGGCCAAATGTTTCCCTGTAGGTGCCAGTTCTGCAGAAGAAGTGACCATAAGATGGGTAGCGTTGGGCTGGAGGTCACTCTGTGCCTTCTCCAGACTGGGGAGGATGGTCTTTGCTCGACCCGTTTGGAGTTTGTTGGGCTGCAAGAGTGAACGTGGCCGGTTGAAAAACACCCAGGGGAGAGGTTGCATCTCCAGATGAAAAACTAAGATTTGCGAGAGGCAGATATTTGCAGCTTTCATCTCTCTGAAGCCGAGAGCCGTACCTGAGATGCGCAGCCAAAGCTTTGAGTTTCAAACCAAGGGTTAGGTAGCGGGCGATTTGAATTTGGGTGAGAAGAAGGAATCTGGAGTGGGAGTTTTAAGTATTCTTTTTGAACATGAGCAGATTTAAAATCTGCACGCAAGATTGCCTTTTAAACTTGATGATCAATCTTTGCCTTCAAAGGGGTTGATCTAGTTTAGAATAAATCACAATATAAAACAGGAAGGGAAGCCCTCTGGATTGCCTCATCGCTTGCCACGTTAATAAAAGTTGCCGGGTGTTGTAACTCACAGCAACTTGAATTTCTCATCTGGGGCATGAAAGCTACAGAAACCCCCCCCCCCCCCCATCCTCTGCATGTTGCCAAAAGGGGTAATAAGATAAGATTGCTCTAAGCAATCTGAAGTTGCATATTCTTAATTTAAGGAAAAGATCCAGCTTGCTTTCCAATGCCGAAGTTTCTCTTTCAAACGGACTACAACAACATAAAAAAAACGGGGCTGATAAAGCCTTGAGAGTTTGCTTAATGAAGATTCTCCTAACCTTTTTAGAAAAGACCACAATGAGGTATTTGTAAGGTTAGGTCATGTATGTGTTGCACTGAGCTCCCACTTAACTATTTAACTATTGTTATCCGGAGCTGCGATTCAGTGGATCCTTCCCGTATTGGAAAAACTAAATCTCACATTTAGTTCCAGCTGTTCTTTCCATGCACAATGCTCAACCTGACGGTTTGGAAAGTCACTGCCAACCAGGTTAGATAAAACCAGACTAAGATACTGTGGCCTACGGACACCTTCTGCCTTTGCACGCCTAGTAACATAGAAACATCAGCCTGAAAGGAGGCAGAGCGAAAAAGAAAGAAAGAAAGAAAAAAACACCCTTTACAATAGACTCACTTGACTGATCACCTGGCGGAGCATTCTTATTCACCCTAGATGACCAGGGTGTTACCATGCCTCTTTCAAGGCTGGCGCCTCAAAAAGAAACGACAACTCCTCTGTTGGAAAAGTGCAGTTTTTTTAAAAGCCACATGATTCGATGCCTTCTTATTAAGAAGGGCTTTGTAATATTCCATACATCTTTAATTAAATTGAAATACAAGCTCCACTATAGCATGGGGGGGGTCAAGGTGGCTCCAGTTTTAACTCACCTGCGAACTGTCTTGAGATCTTCTTAAGCTGCAAAATTGCTCTGCCTTAGGCTTCTGAACCGCAGAATAGAAATAAATTGTCTAGTTTACGGCAGGGTTCCTCAACCTTGGCCGCCTTTAGACTGGGGGGGGCTAATACCCCCACCATACCCCACCCCCCC